GCCATGAATTAAGAGTGTTCCTTTTCACCCCTAACTTAGAGAACTTGGAGGGGCTCTAAGTAGACTCCATCCCAACATCATTTAATGGAGCTCTGTTTGTATTTCTCTAATTTTGTAGCATTTACTGAGGGTAAAATTTTACAGTTTTGTTAGGATTATACAATGAAGCCCACGATAGAGACACTGATAGGTTTCCAGATTAAGGTACATGCTGGAAATGCCTAATTGTTGAACTGGCCAAAATATTTTTTTAAGTGTAATTCCCAAAAAAGATAAGTCCTTAAACCGATTATTTATAAAAAGAGGAGGCGCTTGTGTTGGGGAGATAAGCCATGTATTTTTAGCATCTTCTCTCCCTTGGTATAAAATGGAGGAATCTTAAATTCACTATCCACTAATTATTGGAGAGCACACTCTCATTTAAGACTTTTTTTTCTTTCTATCCTCTAATAGATTGACAAATTCTGGTGCCAGGCTTTTCTTTGCTGACCTGAGCCAGCAGCAGTAATGCTTTTTTTGGAAACTGCTAGATCCGATCTAGCTGTTGCTTTACGAAGGGAGCCCCTTTTCTGAGGCTTTTCTTGCAGTAGTTTTGCTAGAATGCCCCATTTGTATGTGAGCCTAAAACTTTAAGAGTAATTTTAGTTTTGTTGTTTAAGAAAATCTGGTGTCCAATGTGGCTATACTGACACCAAAGAGACTATCTGTAGAGAAAGAATGAAAAGTATGTACGGAGCAGGTTAAATGAGTACTGTGTCTTCTGAAAACCTTGGACTTAAATGTCAAAGGCAATTCTGTTTAGGTCTGAGCTCAGAGTGGACTTGCTGGAGCAGTAGTATCTTCTGTTTCATTTCTCCAATTGGGGAAGCTTTGTCTTCATATATGGAGACCCCAGAATAGCTAAGCATATTTGTAGTAATTGGAATTTTAATAGATGATCTGAGGGTACCTGGCTGACTCCGTTGGTAGAGCATGCAACTCTTGATTTTGGGTAGTGAGTTCAAGCCCTACGTTGGGCATAGAACTTACTTTAAAAAAAAAAGTGATTTAAAAAAAATGTGATCTAAGCAAGTATGTGTATATACTTTTGACTTGCTTTTGAATTTAGTTTAAAAAAAAGTGGAATTTCGGAATATGAAGCAGAGAAGAGAAAACCACAAAGGTATATAATAGCAGCAGTATTTGGGGATATAATTAGCATACTAGGAGACTTAAGATTGCACACAAGGAGGGCGCCTGGGTGGCTTAGTTGGTTAAGCGACTGCCTTCAGCTCAGGTCATGATCCTCAAGTCCCACATCGGGCTCCCTGCTCAGCAGGGAGTCTGCTTCTCCCTCTGACCCTCTTCCTTCCCTCTCGTGCTCTCTATCTCTCATTCTCTCTCCCTCAAATAAATAAATAAAATCTTTAAAAAAAAAAAAAAGATTGCACACGAGAGGAGAGAAACACAACCAACACAACTTCATTTGGTAGGTTCATGCCGGTGGGGGGGGGCGGGCGGGGGTACAGTGCACAAGCAGGTTGAGAGCACAGGAAGCTAGGGTAACCCTTAGTTATCTTCTGTGACTTTTCTTTAGTGGCTGCAAAACCTAGAAAGAATCTCTCCAGAGGGTTAACTGTACCATTACAGGCATACTGATGCTAATCAACCACGCTCTGGGTTCAACACTGCAAGCTATCCAAACAATGGGAAAGCTTGAAGGCTCCCTGGGGCTTCAGAACTGACTGCAGCAATGGCCACACAGCCGGAAACACATCCTGAAGAACTGCTGACTTTTTCTCTAGTCCTGGTATCCAGGCATCCAAGCCTAGGTCATGTGCTTGCCCCCAGCTGCACCAGGCTCCGGAGGGAAGGATTTGGATCTTCTAGTTACAGTAATACCTGGCAGGCGCTGTCTCCCCCATGGGAGAGTTGGGAAGAGGGTTTGGTTGCTAGACAGCAAAAAGAAAAAAAAAAAAGACCTGCAAACTGTATCAACTATTTATCTGAAGGTCCATCTCTTGGTAAATATTAACCATCTTTCTCAGATTTAGCCTCCATGTATGGATAGTATTAATTTTTCTTTAATTATTTGTCCATTGTTTAAAAAAAACCCTCAGGACTGTCTTTTTAAATTTAGTGTTTATATTTGTCAAAGTTGTGTGTGTACATTGCTCAGAGTCATAATTCTACCTGGTTTTGAATGATGAGCCACGTTCTGTATCCTCCCATTCATATTTTCTATTACCCAGAGAAAACTGTTTTCAATTTCTAACATTTATTTGCTATTTATCTTCATATTTCTGAATTGCACACTGTGGCTATTCCGTTTTAGGCATTGTTTATTGACTTCCCACTATGGAAAATGAGTTTTGTTCTTTCTCAACACTTTCTGCCTGACCACACATACATGCTCTTCTTCCCCCATCCTCCCAGGGTAGTGGTATTGGATCCATAGTCCGTGTTTTTATTATTGTTGACTACGTCAGCCCTGTTTGCAATGGTGCCATGTAGTATACTGTGACTACTTTTTTCTTCCAATACCACCTTTGATTTTTCCCAGATGTTAATTATTGTCTTGGTTTTTAATTCATTTACTTAGATTTTCTGTGCTTCTCCCTAAGGAACCCCCAAATGTACCCAAACTGTATAAATCTTTCCCACTTAAACACATCAGATATTCTATGAATTTCGTCTTCTTAAAATGTCTCCCTAAGTATTCTGACCAGCTCTTGTCTGGATCCTTGGCCAGTTGCCTTCCAGGCCCGCTGAAGAGCTTTTACCCTGGGGTCTCCTTCACCTGTCTCTTGTTTTAGATCCATTGCTTCCTGGATCCAATATCGTCTTCTTCCTTAGTCTTCCCTGTCATTTTGAAGTAGCATATTATCATTAGTTTCTCGAGAAAGTGAATCTTTTTTTAGTTTTAGGAATTCCCCTGAGAATTTTAAAGGCACTGCTTCATTTTTTTCTATCCTCCAGAGTCCCTGTTGAAAAGTGTGATTCATTCTGATTTTTTTTTCCCCACTCTGATTCTGACCTTTATGTGACAGCTTGTTTTCCCTTTGGAAGCTTTGCTTTAACCTTGACGTTCTGCAAGTTCATAATGATGTGACTTGAGCACTTGCCAGATCCTTTCAGTCTGGGACAATTATCTTGAATTAATTCATTGATGACTTCCTCTCCTTGGTTTTTCGGTTCTTTCTTGCATTTCTGTTAAGATTTTGGATCTCTTAGACTGATATCCAGTTTTTGTATATTTACTCTCCTGTTTTCTATCCTTGTGGCTTTTTATTCTTCTTTCTGAAAGCGTTCCTCAACTTTGTCTTCCAAACCTTGCATTGAGTTGTTTGGATCTGCTATCAAAAATGTGTATTTTTCAGAACTCCTGGGTGGCTCAGTCATTAAGGGTCTGCCTTCGGCTCAGGTCATGATCCTGGAGTCCCGGGATCCAGTCCCACATCGGGCTCCCTGCTCAGCGGGGAGTCTGCTTCTCCCTCTGACCCTCTTCCCTCTCGTGCTCTCTATCTCTCATTCTCTCTCTCTCAAATAAATAAATAAAATCTTTAAAAAAAAATGTGTATTTTTCTAGCATTCTTTTTTGTTCTCTGTTTTTTTCATTGCTATTAGTAATTCATTTATTGTATGATGAACAATACAGAAACTAGAAAATATAACTACTTAGGTTGGCATTTTATGACAAAAAGAGATTATCAATTGACTAGCTTCAAAATTTGTAAACTTGAGCCAGAGAAAATCACCTAAAATATACAAAATTCAATTGTATATAATTTTTAGTGTCTGTAAGGATTATGTTATCTCTGGCTGTTTTGTTTTTAATACTTCTTTTTAAAAGTTTGTATCTTTTGGGGTGCCTTGGTGGCTCAGTCGGTTAAGCATCTACCTTCAGCTCAGGTCATGATCTCAGGGTCCTGGGATTGAGCCCCGCCTTGGGCTCCTTGCTCAACGGGGAGCCTGCTTCTCCCTCTGCCTGCCGCTCCCTCTGCTTGTGCTTTCTCTCCTCTCTCTCAAGTAAATAAATAAAATCTTAAAAAATAAAAAAAAAAGTATGTATCTTCCTTTGTAGTCTCTTTTTTCTTCTGAGTTGCTTTTTTCTCTTTGTTTTGGTCTGTCTTTCATAGTAAATGCCCTCCTTGGTTTCTGGTGATCCTTGGCTAGTTTCTGATATTTAAGAGCAGGCCATTAAACAGGTACTTGAGATCTCTGGACTTGTGAGTAAAACTTAGGGGATGTGATCCTCACTGTGGGTGTGGTCTGCATGAGTCACTCCTTGGGGATACCTCTCTTATCTGTTTCTTTAGGTCTTTTATCTTGGCTGCTCTGATTGTGTTGGAAATTTTTTAATTTTGTACTATTCATTTTCTCCTCTTTCTTGCAATTTCTAGATGTGTAGCCTTTGGTTCTCATGTTGTAGATAAAAATATCTCCGCTGGGGGGGCACCTGGCTGGCTCAGTCGGTTAAGAGTCTGCCTTCGGCTCAGGTCATGATCCTGGAGTCCCAGGATCGAGTCCCACATCGGGCTCCCTGCTCAGCGGGGAGTCTGCTTCTCCCTCTGACCCTCTTCCCTCTCGTGCTCTCTATCTCTCATTCTCTCTTTCTCAAATAAATAAATAAAATCTTAAAAAAAAAAAAAAAAAAGAGTCTGCCTTTGGCTCAGGTCATGATCCCAGGATCCTGGGAAAGAGGAGCCCTGCAGGGAGCCTGCTTCTCCTTGTCCCTCTGCCTCTGCCTGTCACTCCCCCTGCTTGTGCTCTCTCTGTCAAATAAATAAATAAAATCTTTAAAAAAAAAAAAATCTCTGCTGGGTCTCTGCTAAGATCTTCCTTTGGATGTCATTTGGACCCTCTTAAACCATCTTATTTGCTTTCATGGCACTTGGCAGATAGGCCGACTTGCTAAAAAGTAAACGGGAGTTGGTAGCAAATCTGAGCACTAGAACACACCTAGAATACAAACTGAGAGTCGCCTTCAGTGCATTATTTTCCTTAATATATTTGATCAGAAATTGGATGAACCTCCGGGATGCTGAGACAGGGAAGATACTGTGGCAAGGAACAGAAGACCTGTCAGTCCCTGGAGTGGAGCATGAAGGTACTCCCCAACCCTTTGTCTGCACAAGGCTCTGATGTTTCTGGAGCAGGGCCTAAGCATCAGGGAGCTAAATTAATGCAGGCCCTAATGGGCAAACGCCTGAGGGCACAGCGTTTGTTGTTGAGATTCCTAGTTCCTTCCCTACCTTTTTTTCTCTCACTTCCCAAAACCCATTTTGTGCTGAAATTTTAGCATTAGAACATACCTAAAGATATAAACTAAGCTCTCAACATTTTTTTCCAAAAGAAAATTTGCATTTTTATCTCCCTGAAATAAAAGAAAAACTAAGGGGTTAAAACTAACAGAACAGAGTAGAGAAGGTGCCCATTCAGCCTTTTTCCTGATGAGAGCAGCTAGGGAAGGCCCTTAGATGCACTACATCTGATGTTTCTTAAGTATCTTTCAGGGGGACGCCTGGGTGTCTCAGTTGGTTAAGCGTCTGCCTTTGGCTCTGGTCATGATCTCAGGGTCCTGGGATTGAGCCCCACACCTCCACATCCCCGCATCAGGCTCTCTGCTCAGCAGGAAGTCTGCTTCACCCTCTCCCACTCCCTCTGTGCTCTCCCTCTCTCTCTCTCTCTGTCTCTCTCAAATAAATAAAATCTTTTTTAAAAAAAAATAAAGATCTTTCAGTCAGATGCACTTGACCAATTGGGGACCTCTGTTTTTACTTAAAAAGTGTAATTCTGTTACCAAGGCATTCTCTGAAATTTAACATAGATAATGTGTTCTCTAAATCAGCTCTAAGAAGCTCCCAGAAACTTGAAGCATCATAGTATGTGATTTTCAATGAGAATGGCTTCAATATTTCTTTTTCTTTACCAGCTCGTGTTCCCAAGAAAATCCTCAAGTGCAAGGCAGTGTCTCGAGAATTGAACTTCTCTTCAGCAGAGCAAATGGAAAAATTCCGCCTGGAACAGAAAGTTTACTTCAAAGGGCAATGCCTAGAAGGTATTCTGTGGCCTACTGCTGGAAGCCACAGTGAGAGTGACGGGGGAAAAAAGGCAGGACCCAGTGAACTAAAAGCACTGCTTTGGTAACGTTCACTTGGCAACACAGATTGTGATGGGATTCCTACACCCTGAGAGACTGGGAAAAACAAACAAAAACAAAGCTGGCAATGACAAGGGCCTTTGAGCCCAACAAAAGGGTTTTTGACACTGGTGGGCCTGGGTTGGTGCCTGCTTTATCACTGGCGAATTGTAACGTGGTCACGAGGAAACTGCCGACGAGGGCCTGGTACGGTGCTCTCTGTCTTCTGCGGATCTGACTGGCAAGGCCGCTCTGCACTGAGTTTCCACCGTGAACTGTAAGAGGGCACATATGTGTCTTACACCTGAAATTCCAAGTGAAAGGCCTGTTCTGTTCTTCTGTTTGTCATGTACGCATAGCCTACCTCTGAGAAAACATTGCTTGTACTATATCCGCCCACTGGTCCTCGTCCTTTCGACCCTAGAGCATAGGGAGTGAGCCTCTGTCTGGTGTGGTCCAGAGGACAGCCCAAGGGGGCTTCCGTGACCTTTCCCATGCCTCTGACCCGGGAGGTTTCTGATGGCTTCATTTGTGGTTCTTGGGGTAAGAGGCTCACTCTAAAGGGGCAGGGGCTGGACAAGGAGCCCTGAGACTGTCTGGGGTGCCCGCTCACCAGCTTTTCCTTCTTCCTGCAGAGTGGTTCTTCGAGTTCGGCTTTGTGATCCCGAACTCCACAAACACCTGGCAGTCCCTGATAGAGGCAGCGCCCGAGTCCCAGATGATGCCCGCCAGCGTCCTAACGTGAGTGAGCAGACCACAGACATTGCGGGGTGTGTCTCGAAGCAGGCGTTCCGGGTGGGGGGACTTGTGGTCCTGTTCAGCGGGCCACCCAGGTTGAAAATAAGGGTAAAGAGTATCCAGGGGTATTTGAGTTTATAGGTTACTGACTTCTGTCACATGAAAAAGACTGTGATCGAATGGAAAAAAATAAAAAACTTTAGATTAGACCTTTAGACTAAATTCCTGATTAACCCTGACTTGCTGTGCAATCTTGGACAATGTTTACCTCTTTGGCTTTATTTTTCTCCTCTCTAAACATAGAATTAATAATTCTATCTCACAGAGGTGGAGTGAGGCTAAAACGAGATGATATGGGAGAAAACTGGCCTGTACTCTATATTAAATCTAGGCTAATTTGCTCACTTCCCTGACTACCAAACTTCTGATACTCTACTTTTCTTGAATGGCCTTTAATGGAATCTGGCAAAGTTTTAATTTTGTTTTAGAGGATAGTGTTTGGTTATAGTTTTTCACAGACTAGCTTACCATTTTAATAGTTATGCTTCCTGCTCAAAGAATAATTAGTTTGTCCTTTATCCAAAAACACTGTCAGTAAAGGCCCACCAACCATTTTCTCTTGGGAAAAGGTATTAGACTTTTAAAGGTTTTAGTAATAGTGTCTAGCAATGAGTTATTCACACAGATAATTGTGTAATATTGGATTGTCCCTTTAAACAGATCCTTGGTGAAAGCCACACTGAATGTAAATAGAGGTTATTTACTTTATAAGTCTTTAATAGATGTTTAATTACAACAGTAGGTATTTTTATATTCTAATAGCCAATTAAATCTTGAGTTTCTTATGTACCTATTTTATAATTAATTACCAACAAAAATATATCTGCTGGCTATTAATTACCCTAGGAAAGTACAGGGTAGTATATAGAAGGGCATTTTTTATATTTTATTAACCTTCATTGACTTCTCCTTGGCCAGGCCCAATTTCTTTCAGGTACTAAAACCATTGAGTCTATGATGACGTATTTAGGTTTTTTAAGTCATATTTTACTTTTTGCAACCCAAAAGCAGTACCTCTATTGCCCTTAACTTGGTTCAAGAGTGGTTTAGTTTGGAAACACTGAGATATCCACCAAGAAAAATGAAATTCCACTTTGTGCAATACAGTTGTGCCATTTGGGGTTCTTTGGCTACAAGCCATAGAAATGACTCCAGCTGATATGACAGCTGAAGGGGGGGGGTGGGGAGAGGAGGAACTGAGACCCGGGCAGCTTGAAAGATACAGATGGCAGGAATCCGTGGATGATTTCCTTCAGGAGCAGCCTTAGGAAGGATCCTGCTCTGGGGAGAGAGTCTGATTGGCCCAAATTATGTCCTGTGCCCACCCCTTTGCCAGGTGAAGGAGGGACTACTTGGCTGACCCGTGGCCTGGAGATGGGGTGGGTCCCCAAAAGAAGAGCAGAGTGCTATTACCCAAAGTGGTGCAAATAGATGCAGGAAAGGCCAATCCACAGCTGTCTACTAGAGTAGGTGTTGTAGGGAAAGATACCACCCCTGCGGCCTGCAGGTTTCCATGTGTATCAAAAAGTTAGTCATATTAAAAAAAAAAAAAAAAAGTCACACTTATAAGCACCCCTATGTGCAGAGCGCTCTTGCTAAGGGTTTTACTTGTATCAAGGATTAAGACATGCTCTTTCTTCTGTTTTCTGAACTTGAGGAGAAAAAAATCGAATCACAAAGTTAAATGTCACATTAGACTTCTAACCCCATTTGGACATAGACTTCAGTGTCCCCAGGCCAAGGTGGGTGCATGTCCCCGGGCCCAGCAGACCCAAACTGAAAACACTTTGCGGAAATGAAATCTGTTGCCTAACACACTCACTCTTTTGCCCTCTCTTCTTACTTATAGTGGGAATGTTATCATAGAGACAAAGTTTTTTGACGACGATCTTCTTGTAAGCACATCCAGAGTGAGACTTTTCTACGTTTGAGAGAAGAATGTGTGTGCATTTCAAGAATTTGGGTTTTTGGGGGGAAAGGAGGAAACTTTACTTTCTTCCTCCACACATTTGGTTTTGACACTTCCACCCCTAATTCCCTGTACGGCAGAACCCACCTGTGGCCACCAGGGGACCAGTTCTGTGTAGGTAACCAGATGGCTGTTAACTCCTGAGCCGCCATCTTCCACTGACCAGACTCAACTCCCAACCCCAGACCAGGGCAGAGGGTGAGCCTTGACTCCTTCCCAGGGTGACACGGGACAGACGCTTACCACGAGAGCCACTGCTGTTCCCGCCCCCGCCCTGCCTCCTCCTTGGGCCCCGCAGGCAACACATCTTCCTTTGGCCCCTGGTTTTGGAAAAATTCATATTCCTGACCTATGTTTAGTTTTTTTCCTACCATTTCTATTTCATACATTCTCATACGTTTAACTTGTAAAATAGACTGTGATATTATTATTACATAATGAATTAAAACATATGAATTAAAATATTCCTGCAGTCTTTAGCATGGCACTGCTTTCATCTCTACTTTTTCTGGAACATGAACCCGGCCCCATGATGTGAAGACATTTATCAGACTGTAGGATCACAACTGTGTTTTACTCCAGAGATCAACTGATAGATCTTGTGTTCCCGATGCTTCCGTTGCTGCTTTCCAAGAACGTACAACGTACCCAAACAAGACCCATGACCTTAACGTTTGTGTTTGAGACATGATATGTAGTGGTTCTCTTCTGAAACATAGATGCTCCCTTTGTTTGTTTGTTGTTGCTTTTAACTTTTCTCATACCTTTATGATGTACCTTTGCTAAAGAGGTTTCCAGAAAGGGTAGAAGTTCCAAGCTGGCAGAGTAGAGACTCTTTTATTCTTACGTGAGAGAATAGAAGTTCCAGAATGGAGAAAAGATCTCCCCGAAGTCATGTGGAGAACGATGTGAACGCATCTGGGATGGGGTGGGTGCTGGGAGGCCTTAAAACCCAGGCAGGGGAAGCCAGCGTGGGAGAGAGTGATGGTAGCTGGGTGCCCAGAAGTCTGACATGACGGAGAAGGGTTCTTTTTTAGGAACTTAACCCTGAGCTACCAGCAGCCTTCACTGTTCTTTATACAATACCAGCAATTAAAGGGCTTCCAGTTCTCACAGTAGTAAGGGTCTGAGGCCGCAGAGGAGGAGAATACATCCAGAGATGGGCCCTCTCTGGTATAGCCCCTGCTCATATATTCCTCCTCTCCTTCCGTCTGTTACCAAAGGGTCTGCTTGCGTCTGTGGATGGGGAGGGGAAGGACATTTTTAGTGGACTATCACCGTCTTTCAGTGATAATTCCATTCCTCACATGAAGGCTCTTGTCTTCAAAAGCTATTTTTTTTTAAGATTTTATTTATTTATTTGGCAGAGAGAGACACAGTGAGAGGGAACCCAAGCAGGGGGAGTGGGAGAGGGAGACGCAGGCTTCCCGTGGAACAGGGAGCCCGATGGGGGTTCGATCCCAGGACCCTGGGACCATGACCTGAGCCGAAGGCAGACGCTTAACGACTGAGCCCCCCAGGCACCCCTCAAAAGCTAATTTTTAAATACCAAGATTGGATGAAAAAACAAAGTTAAAACGAGTCCAGATTTCCTTTTGCTTTCTGGAAATACCGTCTCTCCTCTCAGGGAATTGGACACCTCCCGGTGGAGAGAGGCCATCCCAGGGAAGCTTCTCTCCCTGCTTAGAGTCTCCTTCACTGCCCTTCTCCACTCACTCACCCAGCCAGAACTCTCAGGGACACACTTCTTTGCCAGCTGCTCTGAGGGAAAAAAGAATGATCGCCCAGTCATTCGTAGATGCTCACCATCTCTTCAGGCAATGCATATGCTCAGGTGGTGGTGGTCATTTTATCATGAAACAAGGGAGGCCAGAAAAGTGTGCTCTGGGGACAGTGTGAGTGAGAGGTTCTGAGCTGTGCGGGACGGACTGGAGCTGGCCTGGAGGATGGCTGCAGCTATGGTGGGAGGAGGAAGAGGAGAGGGGTACGGGCAGGGGGGGAGCACAAGCCGAAGGAGAGGACACAGGAGCTGTGGGGACAAGGGCCCTTATAGGTCAGAGTCAGCCGGTAGAGTGGGTGCAGGTCTAAATGCCTGAGGAGCTGGGGGTTTTGTGGATACATCGAAGGCCACAGAATGTTACGAAGGAGAGGCATGCAGCCCAGGCCTGGCACATTTACAGGCACCTGCCCCACCCGAGATTCGGATTCAGTAGGTGTGGGGCCCAGAAATCGCCCTGCTACAGCAACCCCCGTGATTCTGATGCAGGTGGTCTGTGGACCATACTTTGGGAAATGCTGGGAGAGGCCGTAAGTGTTAGAGATGGATATATGTACACAGGTAGCTACAAGGGAAACTAAAGTGGCGTGCCAGTGTTGTGGGCTTCGGGACGGCTGTGGGCTACAGCACTGAGTCTGGCCTCGGGTGGGTGGGGAGGGGTCGGAGGGAGTCCAGTCTACCGGAGGGGAACTAGCCCCACTCAGGCCCCACTTACACTCTTCCCATATGCATACGCGTGAGGCACAGGCCTGCCTTTCGGAGATTTGTCTCTAGTAGAGGGACGTGACAGGTGATTATAAATGCCTGCGATAAGGGAAGCACAAGGTGAATAAGGAAGAAGAGATAAAAGAATAAATAAATGAAAGGAAGAGGAGATAAAAGAATAAATAAATGAAAGGAAGAAGAGAGAAAAGAATAAATAAATGAAAATGAAAAAAAAAGAAGAGATTAACACATTTCAGAAAAATCAGGAAAGCCCTCTCCTCTGAATCTTTCAACTCTTAGCCTGCAAAACATGTTCAAGTGACCCTAAAAATACAATTTTTTCAAAAGATTTTATTTATTTATTTGGCAGAGAGAGATAGCGAGAGAGGGAACCCAAGCAGGGGGAGTGGGAGAGGGAGAAGCAGGCTTCCTGCCAAGCAGGGCACCCGATGCGGGGCTCGATCCCAGGACCCTGGGATCATGACCCAAGCCGAAGGCGGACGCCCAACGACTGAGCCACCCAGGTGCCCCTAAAAATATAAATTTTTTAAAAATAAGGCTCGGGGGGTGCCTGCCTGACCCAGTTGGTTAAGCGTTGGACTTCAGCTCAGGTCGTGATCTCAGGGTCCTGGGGTGGAGCCCTGGTGCCGAGCTCTGCACTCAGCGGGGAATCTGCTTCTCTCCCTCCCTCTCTCCCTCTGCTCCTCCCCTGGCTCGTTCTCTCTCTCTGTCTCTCAAATAAATATTTTTTTAAAAATTTAAAAAGTAAGGCTTTCCTTCAATCCTGCAACACCTACACTCCTGCTCCATCCTTCTCTTTCTCTGCAGATCCAAATTCCTCAGGATTGGCTCCACTCACTCTTTCCACCCCCCTACCTCTCATTTACTCCGCAACTGCTGCTGTCTGGCTCTGGCCAGTGGCCTCCTTTCCTCCAACGCGTCGGTGAACTCCACTTATCCACTGCCCCCTTCTGGTCCTTCCTGCTTTGTCAGCTGCATTTGATCCTTCTGACATCTGGAAATTCTTGTGGATTCTGGGAGCCCCTTTCCTGGGAGTTGTGCTCCTTGCAGGCTCTTCATTTGCTTCCAACCATCTTGTCCCTAAAGTGTTTGTTAGTGGATTTTTGGATTGTTTTTGTTTTTGTTTTCTTTCTTTTTTTCCTAGCTGTTGTATATCGAGAACATTCTATGTGCAAATTCTTTAAGCATTATGCATTCACTCCACGCATATTTATTGAGCACTTGTTATGTACCACTGTTTTAAATGGTGGACATGCTTGCTGACCAAGACAGTGCAGTCCCTACCATCACATTCTAATGCGAGGAGACAGGAAGCGAATAATTCAGATAGCAATCAATGCTCTGACAAAATAGTACAGTGCAATGGCAGCATCAGTCTGGTGTGAGAAGGAATGGAAAGAAGTCAGCGTTCAGCTTGTGACCACCAAAACAGGATGGACGAGTCTCCAGCAAGCCAACAGCCAGGGAAAGCCAGGCTTTACTCAAAAAGATGTTCAAGTCCCTTAAACTATGAACAAAGCACGAACCAGTGCAGTCACACGCGATTGTCTCATTTACTACAAAGAGCTCCCCCTTGTGGGAGGAGTGCACCTGCCTCTTCCAGCCTGGTGTAGGATGGAGAGGAGAAATGAGGGAGAAGCAGGCCACAGAGGTCAGATGCAGATGTCACTGCTTTCCTTCACCGCACCCTCTCTCCCAGGCTGGGGTGGGACCAGTGGAGAGAAACCAGGTTCAGGGGAAGGAAGAGAATTGCAGGGTTGATAACCACTTCCTGGAGGTTAGCGGGGAGAATAGGCTGCCCCATAATCCAGGCCAAGGCCTGTCAAATAGCCTTACAAACATCTCTACCCCTACCTCTCATGCTGCAGTTCCTATAACCACCTGGGGCCTGTCGGGCCAACAGCATCGTCTTCCCTTCTGATTTATCCTTCACATCTCGGCCAAAAAGAGCCCCAAAATGTGCGTCTGGTCACCAGTCCCTCTATATTGAACAGTTTGGTTTTGTTTTTACTTTTTTTTAAAGAAGGACTTATTTATTTTTATTTTATTCATTTATTTGGCAGAGAGAGAGAGACAGCGAGAGAGGGAACACAAGCAGGGAGAGTGGGAGAGGGAGAAGCAGGCTTCCCACTGAGCAGGGAGCCCGACGTGGGGCTGGATCCCAGGACCCTGGGATCACGACCTGAGCCGAAGGCAGACGCTTAATGACTGAGACACCCAGGCGCCCCTGAACAGTTTATTTTTTAGAACTTCTTGCTAGTGACCTGGTAATTGCTTTACAGCTCCCAAAATACCCTGTTAAAATGGTCCTTGAAGTGAAGACCAACCTGGCTTGGCAGTTTTGGGGTGCATTTTTATTTGGTTTGAGGCTAAGCAGCTTTGACCATAGTTTTGAATAAACTGAGGGGTGAAGTGGAATGGAGTGAGAAGCAGAGATTTGGTGAATACATTTGGTTCCCAGACTGCACCAAGGCACCCCAGGGCACTGCAGCAAATTCACAAGGGTGCCAAAGGATGTTTTAATTTTCAAGGGAAATGCAGCCGTTGGGGCTGTCTGTTGTACAGTGCTCACTATTAGCTCAAGATAGTTCAGTTTCAACATTATATTGCACCACACTGCATTCTTTTTGATGAGCTATCTTTGGGAAACTGAATTTTTTGACGTTTTGGTGATAAGCAAGTACCCCTGAAAAGTCAGTGTGAATAGGGGTGCCTGGGTGACACAGCCGGTTAAGCATCCAACTTTTGGTTTCGGCTCAGGTCATGGGATCGAGCCCCACGTTGGGCTCCACACTGAGGGCAGAGTCGGCTTGGGATTCTCTCCCTCTGCCCCTCCCAGCTGCACTCGCTCGCTTGCTCTCTCTAAAATAAATGGGGAAAAAAGTGTGAACGGGAAATGAGGGTGGTTGTGTCCAATCTGATTCCAAGGTTTGGGAAGCTGTGCTGTGCTTAGCAGGCACACATTGCATCAGTAAG